CCAGCCTGAGAATCACGCTTGGAAATGATCGGATGCTGGAAACGCCCCTGGGGACAAGATCGGCGAAACAGTCAAACTTGAGCTCAGTAACTAGATAACTAAGACTGCAATCCCATCCACACTTACCTGGGAGAAAGTCCCGCTGAAATCAGTGTGACTTAATACCTTGAGATCATAAGGAGTTTTGCTTGGGCAAATATGCTGGGCCACTTTTATAAAGCCCTGAATTCACTCCTCTACTAACGGCAAGTTAGGGTTCATCCACATTTTCGCTTGACGCATATTGTATTGTGTACCAATTGATGCCCCAGGGTCTGAGACCTTTTTCTCATTGTTCTTCAGCTGTGCCTTGCAAAAATCTGATCTTACCCGCCGAATGGAATCTTGGTTAAGCAAAATCTCTCTTTGAATTTTCTGTGTATCAGCAGGTGACATACGATTTTCACAAGGCACAGCCACAGAACAACGAGAAAAGCTCTCAAACCTGGGGGAGAATTAATTGGTAGACAATAATGATCAAAATGACAAACCCAGACAGCATCTTAAAAAGTAGAGACATCACCTTGCCAACAAAGGTCCGTATAGTTAAAGCTATGGTTTCCCCAGTAGTGATGTATGGAAGTGAGAGCTGGACCATAAAGAAAGCTGATCGCCGAAGAATTGATGCTTTTGAATTTTGAACTTTTGAGGAGTCTCTTGAGAGTCCCATGGACTGCAAGAAGATCAAACCTCTCCATTCTTAAGGAAATCAGCCCTGAGTGCTCACTGGAAGGACAGATCCTGAAGCTGAGGCTCCAGTACTTTGGCCACCTCATGAGAAGAGAAGACTCCCTGGAAAAGACCCTGATGTTGGGAAAGATGGAGTGCACAAGGAGAAGGGGACGACAGACAGAGGACGAGATGGTTGCATAGTGTTCTCGAAGCTACCAGCATGAGTTTGACCAAACTGCGGGAGGCAGTGGAAGACAGGAGTGCCTGGCGTGCTCTGGTCCATGGGGTCATGAAGAGTCGGACACGACTAAACAATAACAACAATGATCAAAATACGGGTGAAGCGAAAGTGTGGATGACCCCTTAGTGAGGATGGACAAGGGCAGGGAGAGTTAACGCAGTGCCCTCCAGATGTTGCTGGCATACAACTGCCACCCGCTCTAGTAGCCAATGTGGCCTATGGCCGGGGATGGATGAGACTTGTTGTCCACCACGTTGGCTACCCCGGACTTGAGGGCCACCCCCCTGCTCCTGAGCCGCTTGTACATGAGAAGGTTTCTCTCTTCATCCTTTTCCAGGGTGTGCCTGCCTACCACAGAAGCCACCAGTGCTGTTTGAAAAGCAACTCCCTCTGTGAGAGCTGATCCCATGAGGGCTTGTAGGGAACAACAGGAACACAGTGAAAAGCTGCCTTGCTGCCTCTCCTGATTTGCAGAGGAGTCTGTGGATATCTTTCAGGGGTCAGAATGCTAATAGCTGTTTTCCCCTTAGTCTGCTTAAGAGGATGAGCAGGAGTGAGCTTCTCTCCAGAGCCGGCCCTACTACTGGACAAAGTAAGGTGACTGCTTCAGGTGGCAGGTGCTGGGGGGGGCAGCAGCCCCCTTGCTCTTCCTCCTTGCTCTTCTGGCCATTTCCCTCTGTTGGAGGACAGAACTGTGTTAGATCAAATGACTTTCCTCTCCTGAAAGCTTAGGAACCCTCTCATGGTTACCCCATCAAACTCTTTTTATGCTTTATACTGTGGCAACAGAGGAACTAAAGCTTCCATTTCGAAGTCATGCTAGAAGAGGACATTACTCGCAGAATTTTTTTTAAAAAAAACTTCAATTAAAGTTAAATATTACTCATTCTTCCTCCGACACAGTTTTATTCAGGAGGCTTAATATTTAACTTGAAGAGCTTGTCAATAGCAGGCCCGAAGTTGCCACTGTCCACCATGTAAAGAAAACAGGAAATCCTATACATAGAAACATCCTATATTTTACCTTGTCAAACAAATAAAATACATGTGTTTATTTAATAACCTTTTCCACAAACAGAAGTAGTTACTGGAACGTGGGAATAGCAAGGTTTGGATTAGCCATTGCAAACCGGGGTCCTTTGAGATGCTTAGAACTACGACTCCCAGCAGGCATGGGCTGATGGGAGTTGTAGTCCTAAACATCTGGAGGGCACCCAGTTGGCATAGGGTGGTTTAAATGGTAGCTTCTCCTTGTACCTACTACAGGGACTACCCTTTATTCACAGCCAATGTTCCTGTCTAAGATCCGTGTCTAAAAGGGAGACTGCTTTTGTACAATGGCTCTTCGCTGTGTTTGATCGGTCCCTTTGTTTGGAAGATTGATTCCTGTTCGCTCTAGGATGATTTTCCAGTGATAACCGGGCACTCAAAAACCAACTTCTGAAAGCATGGTTAATCATTATGGCTGCTGGCGCTTGTAACGTGTCATAGCGCCGTTAAAGATAAGGTTCACGTAATGGCAAACATGACCTTGTATGGAAAACTTGTCTTGTTTTCACCCTGATTTGCCTTGGTAAAAATGTTATTAAAAAGGACCTTTCCCGTCAGCATCAGAGATATTTTGAAGTGGGGGTTATGACATAAAAAAAATACCACCAAGTTAGAGTAGATCTAGTAAAGGTAACAGAGTTTTACTTCAACTCCCGCCAAACACAGCATCGTACAACCATATTGATATGTTGTTGCCCGAGGAGACCATTGTAAACAAATCAAAACATAGGTTGGACTCTAAGAATCACTTGTAAAGTAAAGAAGTATATGGATAATTAAGAAAAATTGAAATTATGGAAAATGTACTGATATGTAGATTTGGAGGTAAACTGCTAATAGGAACCATGTGAGGGATGGGGGGGGAGTAAAGAGATTCAGAAAATCTCATGAAATGATTATAATTGGTTGTATAAGTTTATTTGTAAAAAACAATAAAAAAATACCCCCCCCCCAAAAAAGGTATGTTGTCGTCCAAAATATCTGAAATGCACCAGGTTGTGGGTAGATGGCTCTGAACAAAGCATCACACTGCCCCTCCCAAAACACTCTGCCAATGACAATTTGGGTTTTCTACAGATTGCTGTTTGCTCCAAATTAGTGGTAAAGAGTAGGTTTTTGCGGGGATGGCACTGGAGTAAAGAAAAGGCACTCGGATGCGGCACTTTAAAGCGCAGATCTGACCTTAGAACCGTGCTACAAAAGGAAGTCTGGATAAGCCCCAAGGCAATCAAGCAGAAATAAGAGCCAAAAAGCTTAGGCGTACGTCATATCTGCACCAGACACTTAAAGCGCATTTAAAGCTCATGGCATCCTTAGCAAACTACAGTTCCCAGGATTATTTGGGGGTGAATCCATTTGCTTTAAATGAATGCTGCATGTATGTATGATGTGGATGTGATCTTAGGAGGGAGGCACGCCACACATTCACATCATATTTAAAGTATTATGACAACACTTTAAACAGCCATGGCTCCCTGCAAAGAATCCTGGGAGCTGCAGTTTGTTAAGGGTGCTGAGAGTTGTGATGAGACCTTTTCTTCCCCTTGCGGAGGTGCACTTTCCAGAGTGGTTTAACAATCAATCCCCAGGGAACTCTGGGAGTTTTTGGATCTTGGAGGAGAATGGAGAGTCTCCTAACAGTAAAGGTAAAGGTAAAGGGATCCCTGACCATTAGGTCCATTCGTGACCGACTCTGGGGTTGCGGCACTCATCTCGCTTTATTGGCCGAGGGAGCCGGCATACAGCTTCCGGGTCATGTGGCCAGCATGACTAAGCCGCTTCTGGCGAACCAGAGCAGCGCACAGAATCGCCGTTTATCTTCCCGCCGGAGCGGTACCTATTTATCTACTTGCACTTTGACGTGCTTTCGAACTGCTAGGTTGGCAGGAGCAGGGACCGAGCAACGGGAGCTCACCCCGTCATGGGGATTCGAACAGCCGACCTTCTGATCGGCAAGTCCTAGGCTCTGTGGTTTAACCCACAGCGCCACATGTGTTCCTTCTCCTAACAGTAGTAGTATTTTATTAAATTATTTCATAAAAATTATACACCGTTTGTTTGGAGAAAAACCTCTAAGCAGTTTACAAAAAGATAAAACAGGGAAATCAGGGAAATTTTATGATACATGCAGAAGTCCTTAACTCACAGAGGATTTGAGACCCATCGGTTACCCTCACCTGGTTTAGCCGGCTGGTCAAAGCTGTCTCCCAGAGCATGGCTTGTGTTGCATTCTGACAGCTTCTCGGAGCCACAGGTGAGAGCTGAGGGCAGGGTGGAGACCAAAAGTGGTCAAACAGCCCCAGGAGGAGCACAACGTGTCCCCCACCAGGGGTTTTTTGCTCAATTTTTGTATCCCAAAATTGGGGGTTGTCTTATACACAGATGCTGAATTCACAGGGTTAGTTGCGGTTTGTTTGCCCCCAAAAAACTTTGAGGTCATTTGCCCCACCAAAAAACTGATTTTTAAATTTTGGGTTTAAAAAAGTCTTATACATGGTGTCGTCGTATACACAGGAAAATACAGTACTATCCCCTCCCCCTAACACCTCACTTTAACATGGGCGTAGCCAGGATTTATGTGGGGGTGGGGCAAGACACCCACATTGGCTCTGTCTAGCAGATTTGGAATGAAAACAGTTGCTTTAAATTACCTTCTTTTAACCCCAGGTGCTCAGGAAAAAAATCTGTCAACATCTTTCTACGGTTTCTACTTTTAGTTAAGTATTTTTATCTATTTGCCTAATTTAGGGGGTGACAGATACACACCGCCCCCCCCCCGCTTCGCCCATGCACCTTATATATATAGTGTGAATGTGGCGTCAATCAGACACGGTCTTCCCTCTTTCCTCTTAGCCGGCCGCACATGTTTATTTCAAATTTAAACTTGACGGAGGGTGGGAAGCCCCAAGCCCGACTCTGATTGGAGAGCCGCGTCGCCTTTCCACCAATCACGACCGAGAGCGCGCACCCGGGGGGGTCCTCCTGCCCCTCCCCCTCAGAGGCGGAGTCCAGCTGTTCGGACGGGCCAACGGTCACTCCGTGTCCGACGGACTGACCGCTTGCCGTCCGGAGTCCCTCCGTCTTCCCTCGTCCCAGCGCGGAGTCTCTCGGCGAGGATGGCGGCCGGCCTGGACTCTCTGGAGGAGTGCCTGGAGCGGCACCTGCCACCCGCCGAGCTGGCCGAAGCGAAGCGGATTCTTTACGGGGAGGCTGTCAGGTGCGCCGGGACTACAAATCCCAGCAGGCTCTGCGTCAGCTCGGGAGAGGAGGGGGAGAATGAGCCCCCCCTCCCGTCTCAGCCTTCTTCCACCTGGCGCCCTCCAACTGTTTTGGATGCGGGAATGCTGGGAGTTGTAGTCCAAAACATAAGGAGGGCACCTGGTTGAACCCTATGGGGGGGCGCAGATTTATTCTCCTCTTAGCAAGTGTGTGGCAGGCAGAAATGAAACAGGTTAAGCTTTCCCCCTGCAGTTGTTGGGAGGGGGAAAGTTTGTGGATTCCTGCTTGTTGCACAGGTGGAGAAGGCATATTCACACACCCCAAATTATAAGGTCGACCACCCCCCCTTCTCTACTGCCTCTTGGGACTTGGCAGCAGTCAGTTGGATGGTTGGCCATTTCAGGATTTGACATCAGAGCAGGGAAAGGATGGGCAAGTGTGGCCAAACTTCCAAAAGCCTCTGATTCTTTTCAAGGCAGCTGGACTCCCTGCTCCCATCAACCACAGGATCTTCATTGTAGGCGAGCCCTGTTGGCTGGAGCTGATGGGAGTTGCAGCCGAAAACAACTAGCAGGAACCAGGTTGTGGGGCAGGGGCTGCTGATCTAGGATTTGGAGGAGGAGGGTGCTCATGGGTGAATGAGCTTCCCTCAGGATGATCTGTTTGGGTTTTTTAAAGGTGACATGACAAAGGCAACCCCATTTTGAAAAAGGATTAAATTGGAATGCTTTCCGCATGCTGAAAAGGGCCGAGAGGCTATCAAGCCTAGCTCCCCATTGTAAGGCCCATACGTGAACCCACATGCAGCCCCCCTCAGCCAGAGGCTTCAACAGAGTCAGCTGCCTGCAGAGCAAAGGACTTGCAGAAGTGGCCTTAGAAATTTATCCAGTAATATATGATATCCTTAGAACAGCAATTCCAAATGTTGGTTCAGGAGTCCACAAGCTGATTACCAAGCCTCTGCCTCTAGGTTCTGTCATGATGTGTTGCATAAGGAATGTATGTGTATGTGATGTCCGGATCAAGAGAGAGGCCCATCAGAAGGATATCATGGCAGAGTAGAAATGCTGTACTGCATTTAAGTTCTCATGAGATGAAATATTTTAGGTTAGTTTGATGAGGATGGCTTGCTTGTCATACAGAGAACCTGCCCACGACAGTTTGCATCTAATGGAATTTGAGTAAACCAGCCTGTCCAGATCGTTGTTCCAAAACAGTTTTGTGTGACCCCACTAATTGGTGAACAGAGTGACTTGCTCAAGATTATATAAGAGGTGTGGGATGGGGAAGGTCTTAACCTTTAACCTTCCTTCTCCTCCATCCCTAAATATTTCTTGGCTGCCAAGGTGCATTGACCTGATATAAATAGCAGATATATAAACCTGCCATATTGCTGTTTCTTATTTTGTACAGGACCGGAGGAAGATTGTTGTATTTTTGTGTTCTTACTTTTCCAGGCAACTGGATTTGCCTTCTGCTGCTTTGTCCGCTGCTACAGAAAGGGAGTTTGACCTACAGGGTTATGGATTTGGAGCTGAACCAGAGCAGTTGAGGCCCCCGCGTATTGTCAGGGTGGGGCTGATTCAGAATAAGATCCAACTTCCTACAGATGCACCGGTTGCTGAACAGGTACCACTGAAGCTTGTAAAGGAAGTTCCTGCATGTTTGCAATTGCTGGCTCTTGTCTTTCCAAAGGGAGTGTAGCCCCAGCTTCTTTGTACCATTATGCTTTGTCAGAGACTCAAATCTTTTGTGTTGGCCATATTGTGGGGTAGGAGAGCTGGGTGGGGGGGGGGGAATCACATGTAGCAAGCAATGTGGCCTTTTAGTTTCAGATAGTACATGGGTAAACAAGTCTAAAAATCCCAGGACACAAATGTTAATGGCCCTCTAACAGCTGTGGTGGCTCATTTAACAGAAGTAATGTTTTTGTGTTAACTCTGGAAGTATATACAGTCAAACGTTGGTTCCTGAACACCTTAGTTGCCGAACAAATCGGCTCCCGAATTCTGCAAACCCGGAAGTATGTGCTCCAGTTTGTGAATGTTTTTCAGAAGCTGAACGTGTGACACGGCTTCTGCTTGGGTGCAGGAAGTTCCTGCAGCCAATTCGAAGCCGTGCCTTGGTTTTTGAACAGTTTTGGCAGTCGAATGGATTCCTGGAATGGATTAAGTTCGATAACCAAGGCACCACTGTACTTGATTCTGACCAAACTAAGTCTCCTAGAGGGCCATGAAAGTTGGTGTCCCTGGTTTTTTTAGGCTCATCTACCCATGTACTAAGGAACGTGGGTGGCGCTGTGGGTTAAACCACAGTGCCTAGGGCTTGCCGATCAGAAGGTCAGTGATTTGAATCCCTGCGACGGGGTGAGCTCCCATTGCTTGGTCTCTGCTCCTGCAAACCTAGCAGTTCGAAAGCACAAAGTGCAAGTAGATAAATAGGTACCGCTCTGGTGGGAAGGTAAATGGCGTTTCCGTGCGCTGCTCTGGTTCGCCAGAAGCGGCTTAGTCATGCTGGCCACATGACCCTTGGCCAGTAAAGCGAGATGAGCGCCACAACCCCAGAGTCGTCCGCAACTGGACCTAATGGTCAGGGGTCCCTTTACCTTTTTACCCATGTACTATCTGAAATCCAAGGGGTGCATTGTTTGCCAGATGTGAAATATATTGGCATTATTTTCAGCTCTCCTACCCCACTAATAAACCCATTTAATTGTCAAAGTTTCTTCACTCATCATGTTAAAGCTGCTGCTTCCTACAGGCAGGGTTTCTTGTCAACCCTTTTTCTCTCAGTATTTTGTACATGGTTGAGCTTGGGAGGCAAAATGAGAGTAAAGGTAGTTTATTTAAATGACCTTTACAGCTGACCTTCTCCCTAGGTAACTGCACTACACAAGCGCATAGAAGAAATTGTGGAGGTTGCAGCAATGTGCGGGGTCAATGTCATCTGTTTCCAAGAGGTCTGGAGTGAGTAGTGTTTTGTTCTGCCTATTTAAATCCTCTCTGCTGCTATAAAAGTCAATTTCAGTTGCGTGCGACTCTTGAATAAAGTCAGAGCAGAAACCAGACTCAAACAGAAAGGTGTTGGTGAGCAAGCTACATTCTCTGGGCACAACCCAGGACATCTTTTGTTTCTGTAAAATATTTATGCACCATTCCCACTAAATATCCACTGTGGCTAACAACATCTCCATTAAAAACCATCAAAACATTAAAAATTCAGTTATGAAACCTAAAAAGTGAGATTAAACGATCTGTAAAAGTAGCAACAGGGACGCGGGTGGCGCTGTGGGTAAAAGCCTCAGTGCCTAGGGCTTGCCGATCGAAAGGTCGGCGGTTCGAATCCCCGCGGCGGGGTGCGCTCCCGTTGTTCGGTCCCAGCGCCTGCCAAACTAGCAGTTCGAAAGCACTCCCGGGTGCAAGTAGATAAATAGGGACCGCTTACTAGCGGGAAGGTAAACGGTGTTTCCGTATGCGGCTCTGGCTCGCCAGAGCAGTGATGTCACGCTGGCCATGTGACCCGGAAGTGTCTCCGGACAGCGCTGGCCCCTGGCTTCTTGAGTGAGATGGGCGCACAACCCTAGAGTCTGTCAAGACTGGCCCGTACGGGCAGGGGTACCTTTACCTTTACCTTTAAAAGTAGCAACAGAAGATAAAAGTACAGTGGTACCTCGGGTTACAGACGCTTCAGGTTACATACGCTTCAGGTTACAGACTCCGCTAACCCATAAATAGTAGCTCGGGTTAAGAACTTTGCTTCAGGATGAGAACAGAAATCGCACGGCGGCAGCAGGAGGCCCCATTAGCTAAAGTGGTGCTTCAGGTTAAGAACAGTTTCAGGTTAAGAACGGACCTCTGGAACGAATTAAGTTCTTAACCCGAGGTACCACTGTATTACAGTTAGGACCTCATATCAATAGCACAAAATAGTATGAGAAAGACCGGCCCACCTCAAAGCCAGATCTCTGTCACATGCGGAAATATCTTGTGGGAGTGACAGGGCGAACTTCTCACATTTCTTATGATGCTCTTTTTTTGTAGCGATGCCTTTTGCTTTCTGTACACGAGAGAGGCTTCCTTGGACAGAATTTGCGGAATCAGCGGAGAGCGGCCCAACGGCAAGGTTTTGCCAAGAGGTAAAGAGCCAGATTCCTGTCCTGCCTTTTTACAAGCCTCCTCTGCACCGCTGTGTCAAAACAGCCTGTGTGCATTTGGACTGTCCTTTCCACCCTGCATGCCAACTTCCAAGAGTGGGGGCATTTTTCTAGAGCTGGGCCCGGCAACCACATTTGTAAGCCAGGGCTGCAACCCTTGGGCAGTGAGGCTGCTTCAGTTGCATTTACCCTGCAATCCTGAGTACATGCTTATTCAGAAGTAGCTGTTATTCATTTATTAATTACACGTTGCACAATCATCTCAAAGCAATGTACAATAAAATGGCAAAAAAGTTACAAACATGAACAACAGAGATATTTAAAATGAAAACAATACAGAATGGACACTCAGGACACAGACATTGTGAAGCAGCCTAACCACCCCTGTGGTTTTGCTTTTGTGTGGCTCCTGGTCATTTCAAGGAGGCTTGCCTAGGAGAACATCTTAGTGGATTGGGCCCCGCTGATAAGTAGTGCGTGAGCTGTGCCATTGGTGGGGATTGCAGGTAGATGTGTCTACAGAGGACTTTTGGGAAGTACAACTTCAGTTCTTTTGCTTTTCAGCAAATGCCTGACTTTCTCCTTTTTTTGGCAAAGAGACGAGTGTTTGTTGTTTTCCCCCTCGTCTGAAATGATTTCCCAACCGTCTGTTTCTTGTTGATCCTGAAGGGACCGGAGTGGCTTGCTGTGTATCCCTTTCCATCCTGCTGCCTTCAGTTTAGCGCAGGTCAAGCACGAAGTGATTGTAAATGCCAGATTAATTGCATCTTGGTGGATGTTGTTGTGGTTAACATTCAAGCATATGGGAAAGTAAAATGCCATAAGGGGAAGGAAGAGAAAACATAATTGGATCAAAGGAGACATGACTTATCAGGACTGAGACATAATGCAAAATACACTCTTCAGGGACCAAGGGTAATAGGAGACAAGCTGTTATATCTTTGTTCTAACTTCTCTGGGCAAGACAGTTCCCAGATTCCTTTTTAATGATCTTATGGGACACGTTTCCCAGGAAAGGCGAAGGCTTGGATCTGGAAAAGGTCAAGAGGAGTTTGCGGTTCCCCCCAAAATGCTGGCACTGAAGGGTAGTCCGTGGAGGCCTCTAGAACAGCCTGGGGTGGGGGATGCTCTCGTCAAGACCAGAGGTTGTTTCCTCAAGGTAGTTGGAGTATGGATTTGGGAAGGAAGCAGCACCTATGAGTCAAAACCTCCACTGTTATGGACAGAAGTGGCATTGCAGGGAATTCAGTGGTTTCTGGCATTATTGAGGAATCATTTCTTCCTTCTTTATGACTAATATTGATATTAGATTGGGCATAAATAGGATCTGGTTCAGAGAGTGCTTTGCATTGCCACCCATGACAGTAGGAAGAAGTTTCTGACAGTAAGAGCAATTTGACAGTGAAATAGACTACCTCGGAAGATGGCAGACACTTCTTCATTGGAGGTGTTTAAGCAGAGGTTGGATGGCTACCTGTTAGGGATTCTTTAGCTGTGATCATTGCAGGGGTTTGGATCAGATGACCATTCCATCTCCATAATCCTTTGATTTTTTTGACCTCACTCTTTTAGCTATTCAGTCAGAGTCTTCTGTTTTTTTCTTTTTTTCTTTTCTCTTGGTCTTGCAGGCCTCCTGCCAACTGGCAGATCTCTTGTGAAAACCTAATCAAAAGTCTTTTTATACTCTTCTGCTGTTTCATCCTGCTTTTCTGATATTTGGTGTTACTATTTATTTTTTATTGTCCCAACTGTTCTGATTCGGTAAGTTGTTCCAAGATCGTCCGCTGAAACGCTGCTAGTACATTTAATAAAATGTGGCATCATTTCTATCACGGCTGCAGCTGGCCAGGAAGCACAACATGGTGGTGGTGTCTCCAATCCTGGAAAGAGATACTGCGCATGGGGAGACCTTGTGGAACACAGCGGTGGTGATTTCGAACAGGGGTGCTGTGCTGGGCAAGTCTAGGAAGAATCACATCCCAAGGATTGGAGATTTCAATGAGGTGAGTGGTAGCTTTTGCATTATGGGGAAACAGAGCACTCTTGCTAATTCAGTAACAAATTCCTCCAGGAGTAGCTTTTGCAGGGCGGCGGGGGGCGGGGGGTTGCCATGCACACATCTAAATCAAGCGAGCATACAAAAAATACGAGTGTCCTTGTACTTCTGGTTTCACTTTGAGGGTCCCTGGCTCCGTGTGTCTGGTTTTCAGGCTGAGGCTCCCAAATTGTTTGTTTCCTGGCACCATGGAGCAACTCATAGGAAAGAAATCCTGTCTGAAACCCTGGCAAGCTGTTGCTGTCAGTCAGTGTAGACAATATTGAGCTAGATGGATCAAAGGTCTGACTTGGAAGAAGGGAGCTTCCTAGGTTCTCCTTGTATCTAATATTGCTTAAACCTGTTTGGTATTTGGGGATACTTCCTTTAGCTTGATCACCACAGATATGCCCAGCTCTTGTCATGTCTGCTGCTGCGAGATTTCTGTTAAGGCAGCTGGTGTTTTGGACTCCAGGGATCTCATTCAAGTGTAAGTCTGTGTGTTTTGCAGTCAACATACTACATGGAGGGGGACATGGGGCACCCGGTGTTCCAGACTCAGTTTGGGAAGATTGCCGTAAACATTTGCTATGGGCGACATCATCCCCTCAATTGGCTCATGTACAGTCTGAATGGAGCAGAGATCATCTTTAATCCTTCTGCCACTATTGGGAAACTCAGGTACCATTCGGAATCTTGCTTATCTTGTTGCAGAAAATGGTCTGGTGTATGTGTAAGGCCATTACCTTTGATAAAACCCTCAGAAAATTTGGAAAGCTAAATTGCGGTCTTCTGGAGGAGTGCTCTGTTGTAGCCCTGCCTTATCTCTATGCAGGGGCCAAATTGAGAGGGTCCAAGCAAAGCATATGAAGCTCATGAGCTCTCCTAGCCGAAGGGTTGGCAACAAGGAAGACTACCTTGGAAGTCAGTTATTGGAAGTCTCAGGTAGCTGATGTAAGACAGTGTGAGAGGGTAACAAGGGAGAAATAGGAGAGGACCACTCCTCCAAAGCCTTCAATGCCCAGTAGCCTTGTCCCGACTGTCACTCCATTGGGCACAGAAGGTTACAGTCAGGTAGCTGCTGCCGCCACCCCAGAGTGACTGTAAATATTTTACGCTAAGAGCTCAAAGGGTTTAGCCATTAACTGAGCTGAGACAACAGACAGGCTCTGAAAGGGCGGGGGAGCTTTGGCGGGAGGGTAGAGGTTCAGCAAACCCTGCATAAAACACCTCGCTAATGGGCGAGGAAAGAAAACAGTGGGAAATAAGAGGCAGCTTCCAAAAAAGAGAAGAAAACAAGAAAGAGCCAGGAAAGAAAACAAGGCATATGGGTATCGGGTGTGTCTGGGCACTGAATCCTCTATGGGATTGAAGCTGAACAGACAATGTGTGCACCACTCTCAGGACCTAGACTACTCCATTAGGAAAGCTGGCATTTGTGATCTAACCTGGCTTGAGAGCTTTGTCCCTCTTTGCAGCCAGAGCTGGACTGGCTATGGGCACTGCTGCCAGCAAAAAAGAAGGTGGCCCCTGCCTGGGATGCAGCCCAGGTTCCAAGGTCCTCTTACAGCCAGAGTTGCCATTTGCCAATGCAGGAGCCTGGATCCCCTTGCCTGCCAAATGGAGGAGAAGGCTGTCTTGTCGGGGACACTGACTTGGTCAAGCAAGCCTGGCAGCTCTGCCCTTCTCTGTGGCCAGGCCTGGTGGTCTCTGTGGGGCAGGTGCTTCTCTCCTCAGGGCCACATAAAGAGTTGAATAAAACAGGCAATCTGGCTGCTCCTACATTAAAGCCAAAGGTTCAGGGAGCTAGAGCTCTGTGAAGGCCCAGTTGCATAGGAGCATGCAGGGCAGGAACTGGGGAGGAGGAGTTGCATAGTCCTGCCTCTGAAGCAAGACTCATCCCTCCCTGGATAACTTCCATTAGGAAGAAGGACTTCCAAAGTGATGGAGTGCAGCTGCAAGTTGGAGGTGTTTTGTTACAGGAGCTGTTCACTGTTCACTTGGATTGTGTCATGCCCAAAAGAGCATCACGAGGGAAAAGGGCTAGCAAAGATCTCCTCCTTTGTAAGGGGTTATTAGATTGTCATCCAATGGCGTCTGCTAAGCTTGGGGGCAAAGTTCAGGATATTCCTCATAATGTATGACTTTCTGCCCGAGCTAATGGAGAGGCTGAGAACGGGGTGTCCTGTTTGTTTAGCTGTTCTGTGTCTGTCGGAGGGTCACGATAATTGGGTGGATGTGAAACATTTAATTTTTACCAGGCAAAGAAAATAAGTGGGTGGTTTACGAAACTCACCACTTTAGGGTTGGCCAAAACATGCTGAATGATTTCTAGGACACTGTGATTGCTGCATGGGGGACATTGTGACCATGCTTTTATTTCCAAAACTTATTTCTTTGCCCCACAGTTTTGTTTGTTTAAATATTTCTGTAACCCCATTCATATGTGATAAAAAGGCAGGGGTGGGTTGGAATAAAATGTCTATTCAGAAGAAAATGGCAGATAAGAGACCAGTGGCTAACAGGTGAGCTTTCAGCAAAGACCAGAATTTCTGTGGTCCTAGGGCGGTACTTGCCTCACGACAAAGGTAGTTCCACCAAGAGAGCACTACAAATACATCTCTTTAATTTATATTTTGTGTAGGTTTGTTGTGGCCCTCTTATAATCAAAGTGAAGCAAGTTTGAAGCCTGATTTTAAGGTAGTCCAGGTTTTTCTCAGCTAATTTGAGGAGAGCTTTGGAGAGCTTGCCCAACAGCCACCCCTAGTTGATATCTCAAAATCCACCTTGGGAGAGGATGGACTTTGCTTGGATTGTGCCCCACGTTATTTTAAAGGGCATGCTTAGGGCCATTAGAGAGGCAGGCGGCAGGTGAGTGTGTGACCTTTTGGAGGCATTTCCTGCTTTCTCAGGGTGGTTTTAGTGAGGCGGCATTATTGACTCTTTCCTTGGTTGCTTTATTGCTTTGTGAGAGTATAAACTAACTGGCAGGAAGAGATTTCTTAGATCCCCTGCAGCAGACAATTTCTGCAAATGATACAAGCAATCACTTGCTGCCCTCTCTTCCCTTCCCCACAACATGTCTGCATTTCCTGTTTCTCTTCCCTCTGCCTCCTGGTATCATCCGAATCAGGGCCTGGCCCCAGAAGCTGCTGATTGCCAAACTGGTCATTTTAGTGATTGCGCTACACCTTTAGAACTCCCTGCTGGAGATCTCCATTACCACCCTCCCCCCGCAGCCCGCTAGGAGTCCTTTATATCTTCGTCTTTCTTTCTTGCTACACATCCACTATAGAAGAGGACAGCGCAATCTGTTATCGTATTTGTCAGGTGGAGAGATGTAAGGTATCATAAACAACATTAGCTTGAATCTCCAGACGCTTGAATTGTTTTTCCAAATTGCCTCATGTTGGGCTGGAAATGTCCTTCTGCAGTCAGTCTTATTCCTGTGAAAAATCAAGCAGTTCCATTCTACAACAAAAATGTACCTTTTTGAAAAGTAAGAATGAAAAGCAATACAATAAAATGTGCAACAATACAAATTAAAACATAGAATCATGGAATTGTAGAGTTGGAGGCGACCCAAATGGTCATCTAGTCCAACCTCCTTAAATGCAGCATTGGTTCAAACAGATAAACAGATGGAGTGAAGGGAGAGTCTTGACAAAATAAGAAACTTCTTTAGAATCCATTTATATACACTAAAGGATTTGTGGTGTGGAAAGCACAGCAGTCTAAATGAATCCCAAAGAGGTTCCCTGTCTCCCTGCCCCCCACAGGCATATTAAATAATTCACCCTTCTACGATAGTGCAAAACGGAAGACAATTTAGGGACTTGGAAGGGGAAAGGCTGTGCAGGAGTTGGGGAGCTGTTGAGGTGAGAGCTGCAGTTGCCAAAGCTGGGAAGCAGCCCCTGAGCCTGTCACAAGACGACATCGTGAAGAAGGTGGCCTGTTAAAAAGTGGTATTTCAGGTGATGTAAGAAAGGCTCTGAGTTCTGCATTCATGCCTCTTCCTTTATTATTTCCAGTGAATCCATGTGGCCCATTGAAGCGAGGAATGCAGCCATTGCGAACCACTGTTTCACCTGTGCCGTCAACCGGGTGGGAACGGTGAGGCCTTTCAGCTCTCTGTGCTTTGAGATGCCACCAGTTAGGCTCCTGCTTGCTAAAAACAGAGCCCTGTGTGGAACTGTGGGGTGTAGCATCAAAATCCCCCATCTGCCCTGCCCCTCTAAGTGGCTTTTTAATGCTACTCTCCCCCGTTCTGCATCTTCTCAGCTGCCCTGCTGGCTTTTCTTCCCCACAGCAAAGAAAGTGAGTAGGTTTGTGAAGGTGTTGCTGCTTTGGGATAGCCCAGTGTTGTCAGAAGGTTCTGAGTAGCCAGGAGATGTTGTCTGGAACTGTTCTCCCTCCCTGCGTCTCTGGTGGGCCTTTGGCCACCTTGCTCTGGGAGCCAGCTCCTTGAAGGTGGTGAGGACATGCACACTTGCTTCCTGCTGTCACGGATCGGGAGAAGGCATCAGTAGAAGGTGAGGCTGCCAAAAGCCCTTCCTTCCCTGTTTCGTAAGGAGCGAAATAACCCCCATTCACAGATGGGATTTGCCTTTCATCCATCAAGGAAATCAATAGACTGAATGTGGAGACAGGCCGCTCTAGGATGCAAGCAATACTTTGCTTGAAAGCCAGACACAGCTGATTAGATTTAGAATGATAACAATGGCTTCTGTGTCTTGCATTGTTCATTTCGAGTTTTTCAGGGTGGGTGGGGAAGTGGAAGAGTCTGCCTGGTGCGAAGCAACAGTGCCATCTTCCTTTCATTTTGCACTCTTCTGCTGCTGTGAGGGTGGCTTGATGAATAATTCCTTCTGGGTGATGACTCTTCTGCTTCTTGCAGGAAGTTTATCCAAATCCTTTTACATCAGGAGATGGTGGAGAGGGTAGGTGCCTTTGTTTTCTTTCATATGGAGAGTGATGCTTGTGGGGAGTCTCTTTAGCGTGGGGTGGTAATAGCATGGCAGCAGGGATAGAGGTTCCTCCTTCCAACCTGGTTGTTCTCTTCTGTGGTGGGAAGAGGTTTGTCCAGCACCCTGGGAAACTCTGAAATGGTTTGTGGTATTGGCCAAAAGGGCCGAAAAGTTAACTCCTTTAATGTTGAATTCTGCATTTATATCTAATAATGTGTTTGTTCTGAGGTCACTGAAGACAAGAATCAGAATAGACAAATAACAGATTCATTAGACAGTTGTCTTGAACATTGTGAAACTGAGCAACAGGGTACATTTTAGGTACCTTTTGCTCAAACAGCAACTTGTTGCCCCCCTTTCCCCTTCAACTCAACAGGACAGCAAGCAGCTTTTGAAAGCGAAGGCCATTTGAGATGGCACAGAATGGGGAGGGAGCGGAGGGCAAGCCTCTTGGAGTCCCTGCAGCACCTCAAAGCCACCCATAGTTTCCATCCAGCCACACTGGCAAGTAATTGGGAAGCCAAAGGATGGGAGAGGCCAGTACAGCCTCTCCTTCCTGCTGGCCAACCTTCACTGTTCCTGGGAAATGTTTCCTTATCTGGCCTCCTCCTGCCACCCTCTGGCTTTAACAAAAGGGATTTATGTTGTAATAAATTTGTTGGCCATCTTTTTGTTGCTTTTCTTTGCAAAGGAGGATCATAGGAAATCAGGGTGCAAATGTCAGATTGGTCTAGTGAACATGGGTGTAGCCAGGATTTTTTTAGGGGGGGGCAGGCATTTTGTTAGGAGGGGGACAGAACCTCTGTTTGCTATGTATTTTTTTGTTTTTATTGATTTAGGAGGGCAGCTGCCCCTCTCTGCCCCCCCTCCCCTTGGCTACACCCATGCTAGAGACACAAGAAGTGGTCTGCTGCGGAATAAAGATCTTGGTCAATGTAGTTCAGTAATGTCTTCACTGCAGGGAGCTCCCTAGCACACCCCAACACAGCAGAATCACTTTCCCTTCACATCAGCCAAAGCCAGGGGTGGTAGTGGTCCTGCCTAATGCTGGGTTTGGTTGCTATGCATTTAAGCCCAGCACCAAGAGAGACCAGTCTCCCTTTTCATTGGCTGATGTGAAGGGAGAGTGATCCTGCTTAGCCCTGGGTTCTTGCTTTGCATGGTCCTTCAAAGGTTCCTGACAACCAGCTGGTTGGAAGCTGCACAAAGCAGGCTTTGGGCAAGTTTTGTCCTTTCTGTCAAGGTCTGCCCTTACCTGTATGATGCAGGTGTAGGGCAGGTGGGTATGGTTTGCCCCAGTCAAGCTAAAGTAGGGCGGGTGGAACCTCTGGCCCACAAGCCTAACTGTTCCATCACCCTGCAGGGCTCCCATTTTGCTATATTCATTTTGTTTCTCTTGCTTCTTTGCTATTTATGAAGCCCATCGTGACTTTGGTCACTTTTATGGTTCAAGTTATGTGGCTGCTCCGGATGGGAGTCGGACCCCTGGCCTCTCCCGCACCCAGGATGGGCTTTTGGTGACGGAGATGGATCTAAATCTTTGCAGGCAAGTTGGGGACAAATGGAATTTTAAGGTAAGTCTTTTTTCACTAAGCAAACCCTCCTGTTTCTATCTGATTTCCAGTGAGGCTGAACTCTGCTGGCATTCAGTTGAAATGCCAATTGGCTTCTATCTCTAAGTATATTCTAGAGGAGAGAGACTGTTCTGGAATGGTTTAAGATTTTTCTGGATCTGGGGCTGTGCAGTCAACAGCTCCTGAATTATACCAGGCTGCTGCATCTGACCCAAGGGTACCAGAAAGTTACCTTTAAAGTCTACACACTCTTTTGACATTAATGAAATGACCTCCTTTGGGGAAGGGTGTTGCGGGAGGGGGATAGTGCAGTATGTATATTTTACAGCATCTTTTATATGCACGTTTTAAACTCCCCATTGAAAGTGGTAGGTGAAATTGCATAATGGACACCTACCTGCAATGTCTCCTGCATTTCACCAGCTTTCCTTGTTGGCGCAGTGAATGCCACACCCTGGGGAGCCAGTAACCACAAAAACGGCAGGTGTCTCTTGAAACAATGATGGTCTTTATGCTCACATTAGCAAGGAAGTCTAGATTTCTTTGACAGGAATGTGACAATCTTGAAGCTGCTTAAGTGAAGATCTTGTTCCCTCTCTCCATCTGCAATTCTGTACCCACTCACCTCAAAGTATGCCCCGTCCATCTCAGTGGAGCTTGCCTCCGAGTAAATGTTTTAAGATTCACTAGTTGCAAGCTTGAAGATCTCAAATAGTTTTCTGTAGCAGCTACCCTAATTGCTTAGGTATTATTATTATTATTATTATTATTATTATTATTCCCATCAATTGTCAAAGAGATAGGACTGTTAGAAGAAATCTGAAGGCAGCCCCGTATAGAGAAGCTTTTAAAGTTTGATGTTTTATTGTATTTTTATATTTTGCTAGAAGCCACCCAGAGTGGCTGGGCAGCCTAGTCAGATGGTCGGCATATAAATAATAAAATTATTATTATTATTATTATTATTATTATTATTAGTCAGAATTTCATCCTAGCAGGCAAAGATAGCTTTTCTTTTCAGCCATGAATGCAGGCTAGATAATATTACTAACATTTTTGGCTTTATTTGCAAAACTAGAAATTTATTCATTTATTTAAAAATGGGGCTTATGTTTGACTTGCCATTCTGAAGGTCTTTTGCAAGTGGCAGTGGCAGGGTATACTGAAGTCCCTTTACGTTTTTCCCCCAGATGACCGGGAGATACAAGATGTATGCCGAGGAACTGGCTGCAGTTGTCCAGCCTGACTTTGTTCCCAATGTCATCAAAGAGTAGCTTGCCTCTGCTGCTGCTCAGGAAGGTTGGGAGAGAAACATATTGTCCTTCACATGCGACATGGCAGCTCCCCCCCCCCCCCCGATGTAGTGCCTCAAAACACATGGTCTGACTTTTTAGGATGGGATTCATATAATTCCTTTGGGCCTGCCCACTGGGACTTTGGGCTTTTTTTGAACCAGATTCATTCCTTCTCTGCCTCTCTTATAGCAGAAGTTGCTTGAGGAATGCACAACTGTTTGGCTCTGAGCGACTTTAAAAATATATATATAGCTTCAACTACACACTGTGCACTTGGCCCAGGCATCAGGAAATGCTTTGATTCAGGACTGTTTTAAGCCAGGTGTTTATGAGGGGGTGTGTTTCATACAGGTGGACAGATATGCAACAAAATTATACACCTTTCCTGTAAACGAGTCAGAGGAGTGAATCACAATGAAACCATGTTTTGTATTCCATGGCTGTAAAAAGGCCCGAGAGCCAAGACCACAAGAAGAGTCCTGAAGCTGGAGCAGGCCAGAGGACCACCTAGTCTAGCCTTCTGTTCTCACAGCGGCCAAGTGAGAGAGTCACTTAATCTTCAGCTGCCCTGTTGCGTCAGTTGCAACAACTAAAAATCACCCCTTGTTTCCCCCTGCTAGAAACTAAGTTTACTCTTAAAAGAGAATTTTAGATTGTGAGGTCTTCTGGGCAGAGATCTGTGCTTTTCTGCTTTAAAGTGCCTGGCCCGTTGATGGAGCTGCTGTAATAATAATAAAAAACAGTAGATGGGGAAACCTTGAAAATGTGGTTCCTTGCTTTTCCTCGCCTCCAGATGCTTGGGGCTGAAGTGTGTGCTTCCAGTTGTCAGAGGTGAAACTGTAATTACTTATTCAGCATTTCCTTTTCAAAAATTATCAGCTTGCAATGGTCAGCAAAGAAAGTTGGCGCGCACTGTGCACTTGCATTAACCACTGAAAACCTTTATTGAGAGTGACTCAATTACAAGCAAAATATATTTTGCATATAAAATTTCTCTGCAAGCAAAATATCCCTTTTGTTGTTATGGACAAGAATTATGTAGGCTGTTCTTCTGGATCAAATGGGTGAACCAGAAGTGGATTAAATTTGGGCCCATTTACTTGAATGGACCTGTTTCTACCCATCTGTAGCTTCCTTGGTTCTCATGGATTTGGGCACCAAGAGAAAGGCTCCTTCCCTCTCACGCAGGGCCATGTGCCCTCTGCCAGCAAGGCTGCCTTGCATCACCTTTTCTCTGCTTGGGATGTTCAGCCGCTCAGCCGCAGCCAACCACCATTCACATCTGCTCCAGATGAAAAGCTAAAGCAGATCTCTTAATGAAAGGGGAGTTACCTGGGTTCTTCTGCTGCGGGAATCCGCAGAGAATCCATTGCTTGCGCTTTGCTTTGCTCTTTCTCTTGCTCTGCACATGGCCAGGCACTCAATGGACTACAGAGATGATGCACTGCAAGATGCTGTTTGCATCCCAGATAAATACAAGGCAAGCAGCTGCTTGCATGACACCCGCTAGCAACTGCCACATTCTTTGATTGCTTCCCCCTCCTTTATAGTAGTTACCTGTAAGAATTTGTGAGGGCTTAATCTGGGGGCTTAATCTGAGACTCTTGAGAGTTCCATGGACAGCAAGAAGATCAAACATATCCATTTTAAAGGAAATCAGCCCTGAGTGCTCACTGGAAGGAAAGATCCTGAAGCTGAGGCTCCAATACTTTGGCCACCTCATGAGAAGAGAAGACTCCCTGGAAAAGACCCTGATGTTGGGAAAGATGGAGGGCACGAGGAGAAGGGGATGACAGAGGACAAGATGGTTGGACAGTGTTCTCAAAGCTACCAGCATGAGTTTGACCAAACTGCGGGAGGCAGTGGAAGACAGGAGTGCCTGGCGTGCTCTGGTCCCTGGGGTCACGAAGAGTCGGACATGACTAAACGACTAAACAACAACAATCTGGGGGCAGGGACACAGCTCATCCATGTGCCAGCACCACCATTCCTGGGCACGTGCCTGTGGAAAAGTCAGGGAGGATTGTGTGTTTGTGCCTGCCTCCTCTGCACTTTAAGCCCCTGTGTGTTCTTTTGAATGCTTGACTAGAGCGCCTGCCCCTGCACTCACACAGCCCTCCCATCTCAAGCCCACCCACTACAGAGGTGATAGTTTTAACCCTACAAATCCTCTGTCTAAAATCTGAATACGTTAAGAATCCACAGTAGCTGTACTGGCATATTTGGACAGGCGTATTTAAGGATGGGCTTAGTTCACTTTATGATGACAGTTGTGACCTGCAGGGCAGCATAGCTCTCAGCTGTCCCACTGCAAAAATGAGGGAGAGGGGGATCAGCTCTCCAAAGTCGGAATCATACAGTCATCTGTAATGGAGGTGCTGCACAAAGTCCCTAAGTAGCATAGACAACTCTGGGTCCTGCCATAAGGAAAAGCCATTAATGCATGGACAGAAATGTCATGTTAATTTCTACTTCTGGTGCAACAGGATACTTGCGTTTGCAATAATTCAGAGCAGGTGTGGGGAGCCTGTGGCCCTCTAGATGTTGGACCACAGTCCCCAGAACATCTGGCCACAGTGGCTGGGCCTGATGGGAGCTGGAGGGCAACATCCGGAAGGCTGCAAGTCCTTTTGAGTGCTGTTCATCTCACCTTCAGCTCCTATTTAATGTATTTTAATGTATCCTATTTTAATGTAACTTCACCAATACCTAACTCAACTCCTGTAAAATGTTCTTGCTGGAGTTGAGAAATGGCAGTCTCCCTCTCCGGCACATCTTTGACACATCACTCATAACTTTCTGCCCCGCAATAGGACCTCACAGTACTTTAAATGAAACACAAAGTAGATGTTACAATATCAAAGTTTATTTTTGACCAGCAGGGAAGCCATGTACATCCCTGAGTTGAATCCAAAAACATGAGTGCAGTGTGATGAGGTAGAACAGTCTGGACTCCGGCTAGAATCGTCCTGAACTGCAGCCAAGAGAATTTTCCCTGCCTCCAATTATATAAACAGCACTTCTGAGCCAAGCTGCTGGGTTGTCTTGGAAGTCCTCAAGCAATCTTCTTATCAACACAATCCCGGCCTCAAATTACAGCTTTCGAACATGTAACAAAGTTTCCCTCCCTACCCAGACTTTGGAGTCATGCTGCTGCCAGCTGCACTTGCTTTAGCAAGTAGTTCAGGTCTGCTTTCTAGGGCCAAATGGATCTGACCCAAACATAGGTTTTTATCTTAAAACACTAGCCTTAAGCCTGAGGCTGTGAAGAGCTGTCACCAGTTCTCACTAGAGAGCGCTGGTGATGGAGGATACTCTGTGTTCAGAGCGTCTCCTGGCTGACAGCCGTTTGCAACTGATGTGTTAAACAAAGGTTAATTGTGCTGGATTTGGGACCAAAGGTATCAAGAGATTCTAATCTTGTATTTTAAAACCTTTAATTTCTTTAGAGAGGACCTAGTACAATCACAATTTGGCAGCCCCTCACTAAAAAAGAACGCTCAACATGACAGCAATTAAACTGAGATTATCTGAAAACAAACTGATGGTATGCAAAGAACTGATTCATCCAACCACTTTGAAGGGTCTGCAGTTACAACTGCAATGCCTTTTAATTCCCTGCCACCTGACCTCATGAAAAAGGCCCTGGCTACCAGAAACCCTTTATGCATCAAAAGCAGCTGTGAGAATCCACACATTGTGGTTTGCAGGTGATGCTGGCATACGTATGTGGTCTACTTCCTCTTGTTGCTCCTTCCCCCAATATCCAATAATCCTAGGCTGTTTATGTTATTCTGTTCCCTGATTATTAGACACCCAAACTGGGTGAAAGATCAGCCCTTACAGTAAAGAAAGGAGGACTAACTCTTGTCCCTTTCTGCGTTGAGCTTCTCTTGGGCGCGGGGAATTCATGAATTTGGCGTGGAAGTGAATACTAAGACTTTTGTTCCTGTCAAAAGGGGCCAACAGGAAAAGAAGTCCAAGTCCGCATTTGAAAACTTCTCAAAATGTGCAAATTTTAAAAATACACACATACGTTTAAATATTACAGTCGCTATACACAAGCTATTTTCATCTTCATCAAAACTAAAAAGATGGCAACAGGACCGCCATGCTGCTCTCTGTAGGTTTAGAGGCAGGGCAGGGAAGATTTCACGCTTGCAGGATCTACTTTTTATTTCCAAATAGAGCTTGGAGGCCCACCAACTGGAGCCAGATGTAAAAACCCACTCCTGGCCTTTTGAGTCTTTCACATTGCTGCGATTACAAAATTGGGAGTCTGACGTCCTTCATGATCTACTGCAACCCACCCAGAGATCTAGGAGTAGATCCCAATCTAAAATGTATTTATTTCAGCCAATTTAGAGCCTGGCTTTCTGGATACATTCCCCCCCCCCCCCCCGCCAAGGTGGCTCATAACAAAACAATTTAATACCAGTTTAGATCCTAAAGCATCCCTTCTTTGTGGTCCTGCTGCAGTGTGGGAGCAAAGTTTCTTGCAGCCCTGAGATAAGGCTGCTGCTGCTGCTGCTGCTGCTGCTACTGCTGTTGCAAGCTGGCTAGTGATGGACGTGGAAGCCCTGGCAGCTCCAGGAGGTCAGCTGTCTCTGTAAACAAACAGGATGTCTTCATCGGTGCCGTAACTGGTTCTGGCTTCCTCAAAGTTATTGATGCTGGTTCGGCATGTTCCTGTGGGGCAGGACCAAAATGGGCTCAGAGGGGGCCAAGGGGTTAAGGCTCTGTTGGAAGGAAGGCAGGGCCATTGACTCAACAGCCCCAACGCGCCCATCTCCCTCCTCCCACGCAGTCATGGCCTTGCTGCAGAGACAAAAGACAAGGCAGACCCACCTGGCATGGCTCATGCTCCTGAGGCACGAGCCAGGAAATGGTTAGGACAACATCAACCCAGAATATTGTACAATGTTGCAGAGAGGAATGAGCTAACATGCCAGAGTTGTCCGGTTACCACACTTCCCCTATTTGAAATAAAGGGTGGTGGCTACTCACGGTCAGCATAGGCAGGATTGTTGTAATAAATACTCCCTGAGGCTTTGCTGTAGCCACACAAGACAACGAAATGGCCCTGGTAGTCAGGACTTCTGCAGAAGCACTTCTGGCCGGTTGGGAGAAAGCAACAATATTTGACCGGGTTGGAGCAGAGGTCACAGAGCAGCAGGACGGCGTTGACCAGCACAATGGCCACATGGCCTTGGGCAAGGTGATCCTGGATGTCCCGAACAGTCACTGTGCTGTGGAGGAGAATAGATGGAGAAGTCAGTCCACTGGGGTCTCTTAGGGATATCTTAACAAGGAAGACACTATCAGGACTGGAGGTTTGGAACAGGTCACTAGGTCGACAGCCCATTTGGACAGGATGGCTGCTTGCAGCAGCCTTCCCCAACCTGCTGCTCTCCAGATGTGTTGGATCCCATCATCCTACGGCTGGGGCTGACGTGAGTTGTAACCCAAAGCATCTGGACGAGACCCGGTTGGTGAAGGCCTCTGCATTAAAACAGCTGTGGCATCTGTAAAGAAGTCCATGGGATGGAGAGATAAACCTTGACCGAGAGAAAGAACTCACCGTTTCTCTACCAGCACTTTACAGGCTTTGGATTGTGCAAACAGCTGGTTGACTCGGTTCTCTTCTGTGTCAAAGTGTTTCCTGTAGAATGACTGAAGGAGGAAGAGGACAAGCCTGGTCAGAACAGATTCCTCTCGGGGTAAGAAACCTAAGAACATAAGAGCATAAGAAGAGGCCAGCTGGATCAGGCCCATGGCCCATCTGGTCCAGCATTCTGTTCTCACAGTGGCCAGCCAGATGCCTGTAGGAAACCCAGAAGCAGGGCCTGAACACAAGAGCACTCCTGTGATTTCTAGCAATGGATTCAGAGGAATGCTGCCTGCCACACTGGAACAATAGCATAGCCATCCTGGCTAGTAGCCATGGATAACCCCCCTCCTTGAATTTGTCGAATCCTCTTCTAAAGCCATCTAGATTGGTGGCCACCAGTTTAACTATGTGCTGCATGGATAAGTTTTCTTTTTTCTTTTCTCGGTCCTGAATCTTCCAACATTAAAGGTAAAGGTATCCCTGCCCGTACGGGCCAGTCTTGCCAGACTCTAGGGTTGTGCGCTCATCTCACTCTATAGGCCGGGAGCCAGCGCTGTCCGCAGACACTTCCGGGTCACGTGGCCAGCGTGACAAGCTGCATCTGGCGAGCCAGCACAGCACACGGAATGCCGTTTACCTTCCCGCTGGTAAGCAGTCCCTATTTATCTACTTGCACCCGGGGGTGCTTTCGAACTGCTAGCTTGGCAGGCGCTGGGACCGAACAACAGGAGCGCACCCCGCCCCGGGGATTCGAACCGCCGACCATGTGACCAGCAAGTCCTAGGCGCTGAGGTTTTACCCACAGCGCCACCCGCATCCCCCTTCCAACATTGGATGTCAACAAATTCTAGTGTTAGAGAGAGGAGAACTTTTCTCCATGCTATGCAAAATTTTATAAAACTTCCTTGGTGTTGCCTCTTGCTCGCCTCTTTTGTAAACTAAAATGCTCCCAAAATGGCAATGTTCCTTCACTGGGTGGGTGTCGCTCCACCTCATTGCTTGCCCTCTTCTGGACCTTTTCCAACTCTACAATATCCTTTTTGAGGTAAGTTGGCCAAAACTGTACACAGCAACCTAGAGAAAGGGCTGCCCAGATCCCAGGTACAGCTTACAAGAGAGTCCCCCTTGGACTGAGGAAGCAGGGCAAAGTTCACGGCCAGAGAGCAACGCAAAAGAACATTGGAAACATCACCTGGAAAATCAACATGGATCCCGTCCCATTTTTTAAAAAATCAAAAAAATCTAGCGCTTGCCTTTTCCAGACACGAACAAAGCACCAAATAAAAACAGTGAGTAAAAACAATTAAACAAAAATCACAATCTAATTAAAAGGCACAAGTTAACATAAAATGCCATTGGGTACCTTGAGAAGCCTGTATGTCAAGCTCCAAAAATCAAACATGCTGGAAAGGTTCATGAGTGCCAAAACACAAACCAATTATCATCATCATCCTTAGAGAAGGAAAGAATTCCTGCCCTCCAGACTTGGCCAAAGCACCAACATTTGAGTGAACCAGGAAGCTGACCTGGTTCTTGTAGCCCTTGTCCACCCCCAGGGTCTGTGTGCAGAAACGATGCTTCACCCCAAAATGACGCATCAGGTAGGCCAAATCGATGGTCCAGATGCTCTCCGTCATCTGGAGGTCTTGAATGGCTTTCTGGAACTCGTCGTCGTTCAGGAGGTTCAGGTACCTGGGACGAAACCAGAGGAAATGGTGATGGTGAAGAAGAGGGATCAGGAGAGAACAGAGCGCAGCTTATAATGTGTTACCTGACAGAAGGGAATCTGGACGCTACAGGGCCTGCCTGCACAATGGACAAACTTGAGAGCAAGAGAAAGGGGTGGAGAATGTCCCCCCGGATTCTATTGCAGAAATGAAACAATGGTTTCCTTTTGTGAGTTGGCTCATATCAGCATATTGGGGAAAAGACCCTCTTCTAGCTGTTCCAAGCAGATTTGTTAATGCCAGTGGTGGAGTCAGAGATGATGCGTGCTGCAGTTAAGCAACCTCTGGAGGGCCACAGAATCCCCCTCCATCCCCATTTATGCAAATACAGCGGGTCCCACATAAGAAGGCATGGCATCTATACAGTGGTGCCTCGCAAGACGAAATTAATTCGTTCCGTGAGTTTTGTCGTCTTGCGATTCTTTTCGTCGTGCGAAGCACGGTGTCGGGAAAGTTTTGGAAAAGCTCCAAAAATCACCAAAGTCTTTAAAAACCTCAAAAAAGGCTACCACACCGCGTTCTATGAGTTGCTCCTCGAAGTCAAGTCGCAACTGTATTAGCGGTGTTAAGAAAAAGGAAACAAACTTGCAAGACGTTTCCGTCTTGCGAAGCAAGCCCATAGGGAAAATCGTCTTGCGAAGCAGCTCAAAAAACAAAAAACCCTTTCGTCTAGCGAGTTTTTTGTCTTGCGAGGCATTCGTCTTGCGAGGTACCACTGTAGTTTGAATGTTCTCGCAACAGGCCAGAATTTGAAAGGAAGAAGGAACTTGATAGGCATCCAATGGAAAGTCCTTTGGACACCAACAATGTGGTCTGGTCCAGGCATAAGGAGATAGGAGGGAAGGTTTTGTGGGCTTGCCTACTCTCTCCCACCACCCACTTCCTAAGATTTGCTTTGCCCTTTACATCTGTTTTGGGACTAGCTCCAACTTCAGGTAACTAAGACTGCATTGTAAAGTTAGTCTGGGGCTGTTCTGCAAACTCTGGTTCCTGGCAATCCTGGCTAGCTCTCAACACAGCTCTAATAAGGGTGTTCTACTAAGTTTTGGTTAAACAATGGAGGCATTCATGCACAACACAGGGAAAGGGAGAGATGAGCTAACAGCACATTCCCAATCTCCAAACCAGGGTTATGCCTGAGCCAGACCTGTGCAGAGGCTGATAGCGCAGACACAGAAAAAGGAGGTGTTTTGGGGAGGGGGCAGCTCATTCATGGGATGATGGGAAGGGGCCACAATAGAGGAGAAATCACTGACATTCCATCATGAACAGGGGAGTGGGGGGGGGGGGGGAGAAAGGCTTGGATCCACAGGGCAAGAAGTTCACTCTTGGAAATTCAGTTTGGTACAGGAAGGAGGGAGGGAGGGGGAGTTACAGTAGTCAAGAGGGGAAATTACCAGCGGGCAGGCTAGCGTCTTGGCAGAAGGGATGGAGAGAAATGAAAATCTTCTGCTTCATATCTACTAAGTGGCCCTCTAAAGAGGCATTTCACTCTCCTGCACCTAAAGCTCGTGTTCCTCTGTGGAAGGAAAGACGAGTTCAGCAGGAAAAGGGGGGAAAAAGACCGAGAGCCAGCAGGCAGCACAGCAGAGGCAGATGGAAAATCCTAGTGGCTGTTATTCATGGAACACAAAAGGCAGGGTGGCTTCTACGGGAGTCACACAAGAGCACGGCAACAGACTCAAAACACCCAAAGAGGAAAAACCCGCCAGTTGCTGGCAACTACCGTATTTTACAGAACTACAGAAAAAAAATATTCTGAAGCCCAGGAGCCAGAACAGCAAGAGGGATCACTGCACAGCGAAAGCAGCAATCCCTCTTGCTGTTCTGGCTTCTGGGATAGCTGCGCAGCCTGCATCCGCTCCATAAGACGCACACACATTTCCCCTTACTTTTTAGGAGGGGAAAAGTGAGTCTTATAGAGCAAAAAATATGGTACTTGAAAAGGAAGTCAGCTGAGTGGCCCAGTCAAGAGTGTCTTCTATTGGGCCAACCAGAGTTCTTACATTATGAATATAACAACCTTTGTACCCATTCTTTGTCACAGTCAGACATAAATGCCATTTCCTCCACAGTTCCTTTTTTTCGTGCTTGAGAAGCTGCTGCTGTGGTCAGTTGTGCTGCACTCACTGGAGGGCCAAGGCACTTGGGTGAGGTCTAGGGACCTTCCCACCTTGGAAGCAACTTGTTGCAAAGTGCCACCAGCCACCTCGCCTCCTTCCCCACCCCCAATAAGCCCCAACCAAAAATGGACTTACTGCAGAACCATCCTGGAGCAAGCCAGCCCACAGTCCCAGTGGTACAACTGCTGAAGGATTGGCACGTCCAGCTGCACATTGTCCACTGCAGGAAAAGAGGACACCACCGTCAGGAAGACAGTTTTTGGCACAACTAAGGTTCTTCTCTACATTCACACCCATCCTTTAACGGAAAAAAAATATATTATTTTGTTCCATGCCAAAGACATCAGTTTGCAACATTTTAAAACAACTCCAGGGGGTCTAGTTTCATCTGTCCCAAGAACTTGGTCTCACAGTAATATAACATGGGATCATAACTGCCCCTGTATACATTGGATTAATTTATCAGTTCTGCACCCACACCATCTGCCAAAACCACCTCCAAAGATGGGAATTGTGTGGCCTTGCAGATGTTTGTCGTACCTAGTCCTGAACTGGTACAAGCCATGGAGCTCTTGGGAGGATCAACCAGGCACCCCCACAGGATGAGGGCCTTGAGGAGCAGGCTGGGTGCCTGAAACCCAGTCTGAAGATCCCCATGAAGGGGCCCTTTGGGTTGATACATGATGAAGAACCCCAGGAAGGTGCCTGCCCCCCAGCCTTAGAGAGAGAGACAGCACCAAAAGCTTGACCTCTAGGCTGAAGAGGAACACCACAGTAAGCATCTATGGGCCCAGGATCTCCTTGTGAGTAGGCAATCCCTGATGCTCCTTCACTGGCAGCAGCTGGGGCCAGAGTAGATAAGGCTCCCCCTCTTGAGCCTTCCAGTTGCTGGAAACAACACAGGTCTCTGGCTCCTTTTTCCTATGTTGTACCTGGCCTGAACTTCTTGAGATACTGATCTTGGACTGCTGCCTAATTTCATATCTGGACTGCGTTTGCACCTAGGTTGATTCTCTATGAATGACCTTGGTTTGTTTGGATTGTGCTGTGCCTGAACTCACTGGGAGTGTTTTAGTGAAGGTTTGTGTCTTCGGTAACTGGGACCCCTTCCCCCAACCCACAGAACGCATCTCCTGGAAGTGACAGCGTTGTGGACTACACCTCCCATAATCCCTGGCCAGTGGCTATGCTGATTGAGATGGATGGGAGATGGAGTCTAAAAAAATATGGAGCGCCACAGCTAGTCACCCCTGATGACTAGGTTGGCTGCTCTGTTAGGGGAGAAATGCAGGGTATTGTGAACAGCAAAGGATGTCACAGAGGTGCTGATGAAAGACTTGGATGTTTCTGGTTTTTACAGAGGCCAATAGCTCAGCACCATAATTTCTAAATCTTCCTGGCAATGAGCCCATCATTTCCTGGGTAAAAAAGCATCAACAGAGCCACCCACTTTTTGTGTTTGCAAACTCCTTGCCAGTTATGCCCTTAGCAATGTCTAGTCATCGGGACTCTTGCTCAATTGAGTCCTTGCTCTTTGGGGACAAAAGTCTGTGTTGACAGGTTAGCAGGACTAAAGGTACAGGAAAGGCTAGAGCCCCAGGACAGGGAGGGGACTCAGCTGGCTTCCTTCCAAGCAACTGAGGCTGACTCAAGGGAGCCTGGAGGGAGGTCAGGACAGTTCTGGCCCTCTGGCTCTGGACATGCAGCGCATTCTTCAAGAGTAGGCTGGTGTATTTAGGAAATAATAATAATAAGTAAGGTAAAGGTAAAGGTACCCCTGCCCGTACGGGCCAGTCTTGACAGACTCTAGGGTTGTGCGCCCATCTCACTTAAGAGGCCAGGGGCCAGCGCTGTCCGGAGACACTTCCGGGTCACGTGGCCAGCGTGACAAAGCTGCATCTGGCGAGCCAGCGCAGCACACGGAAACGCCGTTTACCTTCCCACTGTAAAGCGGTACCTATTTATCTACTTGCACCTGGGGGTGCTTTCGAACTGCTAGGTTGGCAGGCGCTGGGACCAAGCAACGGGAGCGCACCCCGCCGCGGGGATTCGAACCGCCGACCTTTCGATCGGCAAGCCCTAGGCGCTGAGGCTTTTACCTACAGCGCCACCCGCGTCCCATATAAGAATAATACTGTATTTCAAAAGGACCAGGGGCAACACAAAGACATTTCAGCTGATCCAGTTTGAACAAAGGCAGCTCTCTTGCAGAAGCCTCCCCAGCTTGCTTTGCCTGATCTTCAGCCAGACTCTGTTAGCAGCGAGAGACCAGTGACACTTGCCAGCCGGCGGGATCAAGGCCCAAACTGCTTTGAGGCTCTTTTTTTTAAAAAACAGTCAAGTAGTGTATTAATTTAATGAAGCATATAGTAAGTAAATTGCAGCAGAGCCCAAAGCAATGGGGGGGGTTTGTTCAGGGAAAGATGTCATCGCTTGTCTCATGGTCCTATGGAGGAATCTTTAGCGCTTCTGTAACTCTGCTTCCGGTCATGCAAAACGTGCTGGAAAATAAGACAGCCGATGTGTGTTTCTAACGGAATGCTGCGATGGAGACAACTGGAATCCTGAACTCTTGAAAGTGGCCTAAACACCATAAAGATATAAGTTTGCAGGAGCACTTCGGGCGGGCCCACTCCTCTCTGCCTGGAAGCCAAGTATGAGAGTCTTGCTCTAAAGGCCACTTTCCCACGGGGGTCCGCTGAGATTTCAGAAGCCCCGACATTAGCTGGAAATGGTCCAGAGAGCCACCAACACCAATAGCACTAGTAGCTGCTGCTGCTTTAGGGCGGCTGTCACCGTACCCGGTGCAGCCCGACCTGGGAGCGTCCGGCAGGGCGGTAAGCCAGCTCCGGACTGCGCAGCCCGACCCTAACCCCACACCCTGGATCAGGCTGCGCGGCGGCAGAGGGACCCCTTTCTACTGGGCTCCGACGTGTTTCCTCGGAAGCAAGCCAGCCAGCCTCCCCCCCACTCCCTAGCGCTCTGCACATGCTCGGGCGCCCCTTCCCAAGGCGGCAGGGCCCCCACCCCACGACCTGACGGACCTGCGGGCGACTCGTGCGCGTCTTCCTTGGGGCTCTTCATGGCGGCGAGGCGGGCGACGGGGAGCCGCTCACGGGCCAAGGGCGGCCGCGGGGCTCGGCAGGGCGCGGGCCGGCATGGTTCCCCCGGCGGCGGCTCCTCTTCCTCCTCCTCCCGTCCCTCTCGGCCCGGCGGAGGCGGAGCCCGCAGCGGAGGCCTAGCGCCTGCCCCCCTCCGGGCCCGCCTCGCTCCTTCTGCGGTGGTCGCCGAGGAGCCTTCCCGCCGGCTCCAGCGGGGCCAGGGCTGAGGCCCGACAGGCACCGGGGCGGGAGGACGTAGGGGGGGGGCTCCCTTTCCCACCCCCAATGAGCAACCAGGGGCGGCGGTGGCAGAGGAGGCCGGGCCTGTCAGGGGCCGCTGGACTACAACTCCCGGCAGCCTCAGCCAGGCCGGCCAAGGCTCGGCGCTGATGGGAGTCGTAGTCACTGACAGGAACCCACAGAGGTGGCCCCCCTCCCGCCTCTCAGTAAGCGCCCAGGAAATGGGAAGGGAAGGGAGGAGGCTTCAAGCGCGGCGGGGTGTCGCCTGTGGTGTGCTCCCCCCCCCTCACGGGCAGGACAAGCGGAACTATCGAGCAGGGGTCTCGTTTCCCGGGCGACTCCTCAAGCCTGTAACACAAGAGGCCCAGACGGGCTTCCTTTATCCGAGGCGCGCTGCATGCTGGGACACCGGCGGGCGAGGAAACGGAGGCACGCCGTTGCGGAGAGCGGGAGCGCCTGACGGTGAGTTGCAAGGGGAGGCCGGCCTGGCTCGGCCTAGCTTAGGCCAGCCCGGCCCGCGAAGCGAGGCTCCCTCCTTCCCTCACTCGCGGTTTCTTCCGGGGGAGGGGCTCGGTTTGAACTGCCCTCGCTCGACCCGCGGAGCTCCCAGGCCCCACTTAGGACCGCTGCATTCCTACTCAGAGTAGACCCTTCCCACTAATCTCCCGTTGGAATTTAGTCGCGAGTTTAGTACGTGGGACTTAGTTGGATGCAGCCCAGTGGAGGCAGGTCACTGGAGTGCGTTGATTTCAGTGGCCTACTCCTGAGTAGTACCGACTAGAGAGCCACGTTGGTTGGGCACTGGGTAGGGGAACGTATTCCCCACCCCCTAAGGAAGCGGGCTTAACGCAGGCTGTCAGTCCCCCCCCCCGAAATTCCTTCAACTGGAAGGGGGGGAACTATCCAAAAGCACCCCACTGATTTCACAGTGTTAGTGTATGGTGGAGGGGGATATTTTTGCGCGTGCTTAACCGAGACCCTTTAGTGCATTTCGTCGAAGGTACGGGCTCCTGGCTTGGCCAGGCCCACCAACTACATAGGCCGGATTCATTCTCAGCCTTCCCTAGCCTGGTGTCATACAGGTGTATTGGACTACGACTTCCATCGGCCGCCGAATTAGCCTGGCATACCTCGAGGTTGGGGGAGGATGTAATAACTGCTTTATGATCCCCCTGATCTCTGGAATGCTCCTCCATCTCAGGTGAAGCTAGCACCAACATTTTCCCCCTTTGGATGGCAATTGAAGATGGGTCTTTTTGGCCAGACTCTGGGCAGTGGAGGGACGCGGGTGGCGTTGTGGGTTAAACCACAGAGCCTAGGACTTGCCAATCAGAAGGTCGGCGGTTCGAATCCCCATGATGGGGTGAGCTCCCGTTGCTCGGTCCCTGCTCCTGCCAACCTAGCAGTTCAAAAGCATGTCAAAGTGCAAGTAGATAAATAGGTATATATATACCTTCTGGCGGGAAGGTAAACGGCATTTCCGTGTGCTCGTCTGATTCGCCAGAAGCGGCTTAGTCTTGCTGGCCACATGACCTGGAAGCTGTTCGCCGGCTCCCTTGGCCAATAAAGCGAGATGAGCGCAGCAACCCCAATGTCAGTCATGACTGGACCTAATGGTCAGGGGTCCCTTTACCTGCGCAGTGGGCGAGCTGAGTTCCAGTGGCTCTCTTCTGAACACCAGCTGTTTGTCAATGTTATTGGTGTCTGTGTTAAAGTTTAGTTATCTTTAATGTTTTATATATATTATTAGTATTTAACCTGCCTTCGCATTGTATGGAGGACAGGATTGTAAACTGAATAAACAGCAGCAAGAACAACAACAACAACAACAATAATAATAATATTTGGTGCTGTTAGGGACTCAGGAGCAGAGGCACAGGAGAGGGAGGAAATAGAGACCGAGGGGGAGGAATCTGAAGGAAATGTTAGCGATGACAGCCGTCCGAGGTCTCTGAGTCTCTCCAGCGACTCGGAGGATTCACAGAAAGGGGCTCCCATGGTCAGAGCAAGGGGGGTGCCTAGGGGGACACCCCAGGAAGAAGGGGCAAGAGGGGACTCAGAGAGCAGCAGTTGGAAATCAGGACCAGCTTCTCCACCAGAGCGCAGTAGGGGGGAGGAGTCCCAGGCATCGGGATCAGGCGGCGCACCGCCAGCGGGAGGACATGAGTCAGGATTGGCCACACCTCCATCGGAGAGCGAGGAAACGGTCAAAAGGAAGGTCGGAGACTGGGCGCGCGCGCCAAGTTCAAATGTACAAGAGGGAGGCGCAGTGGGCAGCCCGGATAGGGAGCCAGGTCCTAAAGCCTGCCGAAAGGAGGGAGGAGACTCAGGGGGGTCAGTGTCAGCGTCAGAAGAGTCCAGGACGGAAGGGACCCCGGGGGGTAGAAGGACCCAGAGGAGAAAGGAGAGACGGAAGAGGTGGAGTAAGGTTAGAGTCTTAAACTGGTATACAGGGGGCGGAGACTCAGATGGAGCTTCGCCGGTCTAGCCTCTAAGACGTAGAGCTGGGGCGCTCTGGTTTGGAAATGGAAACTGTACTTCAATAAAGACTTTTGTACATTACTGCCGGCTAGTGTTGGTCCTCTGTGAGCTGGGACCTGGAGCCAGCTCTGACAGGTGCTTACATGAAGCATGCCTTGCTCTTCTGAGGAGCACAATATAGCCTGACAGGCAGATTTGCACCTCATTCCCCCTGCTAAACTTCCCATTATACCTCTGGTTTTGGAAAAATTTACCACCAACTCCCTGCTGTGGGTTTGTTTTCTGCTTCAATCACACTGGATTTGAGTATTCTGATGATCCTCAATGTTGCTTGATGAGTTTTGTGATGCTTCCTCAGATGCCGTATAGATGTCATTACCCTTGTACCTTACTTCCTGGGAGTACAAGACACTCTTAAGAAGGGGCAGCCATGGAGCAAAAGCTGTTAACACGATGTTGCATTTCCCCATTCCTCTCTCAGGTTTGAACACACCCAGCTTCAGTCATGTCTATCGGAGTGCCAATTAAAGTCCTGCATGAAGCAGAGGGTCATATTGTGACCTGTGAGACGAATACTGGAGAAGTATACCGCGGAAAGCTCATTGAGGCTGAGGACAACATGAATTGTCAGGTAGGTGGGCTCTGAAAAGTGGTGATGGGTGGCTAGGAGGATGTGGCCAGAACAAAATGTCCCTCTTTGGGTCTTCATCTGTTGTGGAAGGTCTTAGCTTTGTCTTTAAAAAAATCAAGAAAACCGTAATTGGGGCTCCCCTGATAGAGAGAGAATGCAAAGACATGACTTGGCCACCAAAGTGATTGAGTGATTGGTCGTTCCCCCTTCACCCTAAGTTCCCAGAGCAGCTTGTGACAATTAAAAATACAACATAAAAAGGATATTCTAAAAACCGACAAGTACAAAAATATACGATCACAAAAGATAGAGTTCGTCCTGAAAATATACACCTCAGGTGTTGAAGGCAAGGGTCAAGAGATGTGTCTTCAACACATCTGTATAATAAAGTTGCCAAGTGCACCTCTACAGGGAAGGAGTGTCACAGATTAAGTGCTAAGTTCGTAGCCTCCTCCTTTGTGAATTAGTCCTGTCTTCTTTCAAAGCCATCCAAGTTGGTGGTGATTGCTGCCTCCTGTGGTAGCTAGTGCTACAATTTAACTCTGCGCTGCATGGATAAGTCCTTCCTTTTTTCAGTCCTGAATCTCCCAACATTTGGCCTCGTTAAGGTAAAGGTAAAGGTACCCCTGCCCGTACGGGCCAGTCTTGCCAGACTCTAGAGTTGTGCGCTCATCTCACTCTATAGGCCGGGAGCCAGCACTGTCCACAGACACTTCCGGGTCACGTGGCCAGCATGACAAGCTGCATCTGGTGAGCCAGCGCAGCACACGGAACGCCGTTTACCTTCCCGCTATAAAGCGGTCTCTATTTATCTACTTGCACCTGGGGGTGCTTTCGAACTGCTAGGTTGGCAGGCGCTGGGACCGAACGACAGGAGCGCACCCTGCCGCGGGGATTCGAACCGCCGACCATGCGATCGGCAAGTCCTAGGTGCTGAGGTTTTACCCACAGCGCCACCCGCGACCGTTGGCCTCGTTGGATGCCCCCAAATTCTTGTGTTTTGAGAGAGCGAGAGAAACTTTCCTCTGCCCGCTTTCTCCATGGCATGCTACATTTTATAAACTTCTATGAAGTTTTTTTTATAGAAAACCTCTTACCTTGCCCCCCCATCCCAACAATTATTTAATTTTCCTGCATTGCAGAGGTAGGATTAGAGGACCATCGGGGGGTACCTTCCACAATTATGTGATTCTATGGCTGCCACAGATAATACTTTCTGTCACCTATCCCTGGGCTTATCTCTCCCTGGAGCTTCCCAGTGTTGCTGGACTACAGCTCCCATCACCTTTGACCATTGGCCATGCTGGCTGGGGCTGATGGGAGTCATAGTTTATCAACATCTTGGTGGACACCACATTGGCTACCTCTCCTTTTAAAGGGCTCCAGTTGCCCTCAACACCAGTAGAGTTGATGCAGAAGAGGTTTTAGGAGTGGATGAGGACTCTCATCTGCTCAGGTGGGCACAAGCGCTCTTAAAAGGAAAGTCCTGAGCCTAGGTTGCTACTCCAGAAAAACTCCTTAAACAAAGCAGAGCTCTCCTGGTATATCCTCTTTGGCAGTCTTCACCAACCTGGTGCCCTCCAGCAGTTTTGGACCACAGCTGCCTTCAGCCCCAGCCAGCACCACCATATGATTCTGGCGCTGATGGGACTTGCAGTACAAAACAGCTGAAGGGCATTGGATTGTCAATGGCTGCTCTCCAGTATGATACTTTGGAACATCTGCTTCATTTACTCCACAGGCTGTTAAACATTGAGGATTTCTTAATGCTTTTTTAAAAAAAATAATTGCTGTGACTTCTTTGTCCTGTGCCATCACATTTGTATTTTAAGAAAACATTTCCGTAATTGCCCTAGGAATTTTGATTAGCTATTAAAGGGTGGGTATAAAATTTAAGAAATAAGGCTTGGATCAACATACAGATGCTGGCAACTTTGCTGCTTTGTCTGTTCCTGCACCTATCCTGCTGTTCTCAAGCTAATCTGAAAACAAGGGCTGTTCCTTGCTGCTTTAAAGACACATCCACAGAAATGGGAAAGCAAAATGCTTTTCACTTGTCTTAACTCGCCAATATGACGTACTTGGCCAGACAGCCTTTCCATT